TTAGAAGGGTCTGGAAAGAGGCACATTAACATAGGGTAATGACAGTTAGCTGGGGGGTGGGAAGGGTTTCAGGCTCTGTTCACACATTTCAGCATCTTTGGAAGAGTTTCACACCTAGGTCCTGTGGCAACCTACCCCAGGCTGCCATGAGGTGAGGGGCAGGGTCTGGAGCAGCAGGCATGGGTGTGTTCCTGGACAAAGTGCCCATCCTCTCCTGGCCTGGCTTCACTCTCTGCTCCTGAAGGCTGCCTTACCCAGGTGGCTGTACCAAAGTACACTTGATAGGGATCAAGGTAAGCAGGGTGCTTAGAAACAATGTTCCAAAGCCAGAATTGGTATTGGGGCCTAAAAATCCCACCCCATACTCTTATTCACCACCAAGCCCCTTCTTCACAGAGTAAAGATATATTTCAGGCTAACCCCATCTATATTATCACTGAAAGGGCTGAGAAAAAGGAACCACATTCAGCTTCCTGTCCCCACCCCAGCATGGTCAGGTAACCTCACAGGTCACAGAGGTCTGCATGAGGGAGAGGTCATACTACCACAGCCCACCTTGTTAGCCAGGTCCCCAGAGCCAGCCCTTGGGATGGACCCATCCCAACACCATGCAAGAGGTTTTCCCTTTGAACGCAGGAGAAAAACAGAGCACAGAGCTATTATGAAAACAATTCTTTTTTTTGGAACAAATAGGTAGGAATGTATTCAGAGCGTCTCTGCCAAGAAAGACAGCATGTCCACTCTGCTGGGGGGCCACCAACTCCCCCACCCCAACTGAAGACTAGGAGCAGAACGCCACAGGGGCAGGAGCTGGTGGGGGCAGGGAAAGGTTAGCCTAAAGAGGGCCTCAGGCTTTCCCCTTTCCAAGTCCTCCAATTTTCACAGCAGCCTGAATTCATCCCCACTTCCCATCCCTACCTCACCCTGACCCAAACTACTGCCCTAAAATATTTTTTAAACCTTAAACCAAAAATATCCTCAGAAGTCTTCTTAAAAATCAAACATTAGTTTAGCTTAACTTATTATTATTTGCCGTCGAGTCAGACCAGAGTCATAGAGACCCCTCCTTGGGTTTCCGAGGCGGTATTACTACGGAAGTATATTGCCCAACCTTCTTTCCGAGGAGTGGCTGGTGGGTTTTAACCACCAGCCTTCTGGTTGGCACTACACTACTAGAGTTCCGAAGAACTATCTACATGGCATCAAATTGACAAGTCTAAAGGCTAGATTGGAACCTTAGGAAACAGGCAGTTTATGTTACTGGAAGAAAACAATTCAGAAAAGGAGGGTGAAAATGGTTGTGCGACTGGAAAGAATGTAACCAATGTCACTGATTGTACCTGAATAAACTGTTGCACTGGTGCATGTTTGCTGTGTATATTTTCAACAACAGATTTTTCTCTGAGAAACTACTCCGACCTTGTCCTGTTACTTCTATAATGTATGTGAATAATTTTGTAGCACAAGTACCTTGAAGGAGAGAATCAACAAAGCCTGCAGGCTCAGGACCATAGCCTGGGGGACATCATCCACAACTCACACAAAATAGTCTAAAAATCTGAATTAATCTTACCCTAGGAAGATGTACCCCCCTTAGATCAATCAGCCATGAGACATCAGAGGGGTAGCATTCACACGGAGAGAAAGCTGGATAGACAAGAACGTATAGATAAGAAGGGCACAGGGAAGGGGTAGTCACAGAGAGGAGAGCAGAAAACAGCTTTTCATAGTTAGGGATTGTAATCAGGCCATGAAATCAAATGTGCATTAACTGTTGTGAGTAAAACAAATCTGCTTTGTAAATCTGCACCCAAATCACAATAAAAAATAATACTTAAAAAAAAAAGTGAATTGGGAAGGACCAATGTCTTAAGTTGACACATATTTATATTGTAGTAAAAGGAAAAATTATTTCAAATTGTGAGGGGGAACCAGGGTAGCTCCCTTGGCCTTCAAGGAACCTTCTGGTCTTGATGCTCACAAAAGTGAATCTTAGCAAACATTCCAGGTCTGGGCTAGAAAGTTTTAGTTAACCAAATAGTAAATGGCTTTTGAGTTTCAAACATTTCGGTAATTCAACAATTACCTAAGTGAGACATTACGAGTATTGGGGAGTGGGAACTAACCAAGAAGTCAAAGTTGACCCTTGGACTTTCCAAAGGGTTTTCACACCCATGTTCTGTTTCCTGAAGACCTTCCAGGTGGTCAGCATAAATAGCACCAAGCCTTCTGCACAACTGAGGAAATCATGTGGCAGGGACATATGATGGACCTGTCCCTGGTTACCAAGCTGGACAGTAAGAGCTGCTGGTTTTCTTCTTGGTGAAAGTGGTTCCGATATTCACCCCCTGCCATAAAATCACTATGGGCCCCTGGGAGGAAGGGGGCTGCTTAGTGGAGCAGAAGGGAAGCTGGTATGATCTGAGCCACTGTCTGCAGACCCCCCCCCCCCATGCTACTGGGAGCCCACAAGCGAAATCATAGCTGTCTCCAGAGCCAGGTTCTACAGCTTGGGTCTACTCAGTGTAGCCAGGTCCCTCCGAAACCCCCTGGGGCTAGCCTTTCTCGGCCACCGGCCCCTGAGCTCTACCCTCAGCACTACTGCCCACCAGGCCCCAAGTAGGGCACCACTTCCTGGACTCTCTCACCCCGCCACTCCCAACCTTATTTTGGGCTTTGAGAAGAGAGTGGGAAGTATTTCTTAGAACTATAAACTCAAGTTAACAGGGTTCTTATACACCTGGGACAGGGGATGGAAATGAGCTTCCCTTGGCCAGAGGCTGACCTTCCAGAGTCAGGTTCTTGGGAAGTGCAGCTTTCACCACTGGATTCACAATCAGGTGAAAGTGCAGGTTTTCCACCACAGACGAAGCTCCAAAGTGTGGGTCATACGTGGGACCTAGAAATCTGCACTCTTCCTATGAGCTCCAGGGAAACTCCCAACTCAGAGGTTTCGGAGATGAGGCCTCCAGATTCCAGTTGCACCTGGAGTGTGGGGCGTGGCTGCCAGGTGAGGGCTCTCAGAATGGATGTAGCGCACTGTTACACCAAGAGTTGGCTCCAACCTCTTTTAACCTTAGGTTTCCAGAGACACCCCCATTCCCTCACTCCTCCCCAACCTCCCGCGGAAAGCATAAGGCAGGGGGAAATTGGCTCTACCCTACAGCGGGAGACCAGGGTCTCCAGCCCCCAAGCCTGCCCTAGGCAGGAAGAGGATTTCGAGTTGCCAAGTTGGGTAGCGCATTCCAGTGGAGCTCCCGCCTGGCACTGCCCACGCGGTGAGCTCCGCCTTTCAGCCAGCTCCTCTGCAATTCACCAAACCTGGGCACCAGACGCTGCCCAGCAGAGCCGCCACCCTGGGCTCACCGCACGTGTCGGCTGGGCCCCTTGCAGGCACGTGGTCTGGTGAAGGAACCGAACCAGAAAGATTTGCCAATCATCAAGCTCCCCGCCTAGCACCAGCCGTTCTCCGAACAAGAGTCTCCACCCCGGCCACACCCCATGTGTCTTCTCCTCCCCCACTTCTGTACTGAAGTCCACAACCCTAGCTCTCATGCTAGCTCGGTTCCTGTCCCACCCCACCCCCGGGCACCCCCACAGTTATCCAACCTCACTGGGCCCCTAAATTCTTAATTGACTCTTAATGCCTAGAAGTGGCCCTGCTCTCACCCTGAACAACGCCCACCTACTATGTGGTTTCAGGCAGCGGCGACAAGGGTCCAGGGGGACAGGGCAGCGTCCCAGGGGCCTGCCGGGCTCCAAACATACAGGAGAAAGCAGCCAGCACTCTAGGGTTCCAAAGCTGTGAATTTTTGTATTTTTAATCAGCCTGCAAGTATTTTACGTATGTGAAGGTCTAGCCGTCAGTAACAAGTTTACCGTGTTAAGTACACATATTTCAAACCTGCCCCATATGTAGAATGATTAAATGCCACACAAGAGTTCACGTGAGCTCCAATGAAACAGGATTCTTTAATACCAAACTGGGAAAAAAGGGGTTGCATTCTTGTAAGCGTTTTCTTTTTTTAAAAATTTAAATTCTTCGTCTCATAAGCAAAAAAAGCCGATTCAACAACCAGGTACCGAGCCCAAGCGAAAAGAAGTACGAACCCTGGAATTAAGAGCACGCACGAGCAGGTGCGCCCAACGCTCTCGCTGCTTTCCCTCAGGCTGCGCGGATAGGGGCAGTCCCGAGCAGGTATGCTTTTTTCCTGCAGCTGTCGCTGGCCGGGCCGCGGAGCCGGGCTGGAGCTCCCGGGGGCCAACCGCGCCTACGCCGGCCGGATGGGCGGGGGTCGCCCACAAAGAGCCGGGCGGGAACAGGACCGCCCCTTGCCTTGGCCAACACCGCCGTTGGCTCTGGTTACGACAAATTAAACCTTAGAGCGCTGCAAAAAAATTACAGGAAGAGGAAAGCGAAGAATGTGCCGAGTAGCTAAGAGCGAGCCGCTGTCCCTGCATGAACTTCGCCCGCCGCGCACCCGCCCCGCCCCAGCGTTTTCCCACCGCACCCCCGACGGGGGAGGGGTCGGACCAGAGCGCCCCAACCCGCCACGGTCCCGCCCACCGCCCCGAGCGGCGCTCCCGGACCACGCCCAGCCGTCGCACCTGCCCGCGCCCGCCTCGGGGCCTGGGAGGGGAGTCCGCCTCCCCCAACCCCACGGGCAGGGATTACAACATCCGCCCCCGCGGCCCCGCCCGAACGTGCTCGGGGAGGGGGCGCGGTCACCGCCTCTCAGGCCAGTGGACCCGCGAAGACTCTGTAAGTGGGAGTACTCCGCCCGGCGAGCCGCGCTCTCGCCCCAGGACTCGGCACCGAGTGGCTAGTCCCCACTACAAGGAGAGAAGGCGCGGGGCGGGGCAAGTGGCCTGTTAGAGCTCAACCCAAGCGACCTTCTCGGGCGCGGTCCTCCCCACCTCCGCTCTGGCCGACGCTCCGGGGGCGTGGCCCGGTTTGCGTTGGCGCCCCTCAGCGCTTGGCCTCCCCGCGCCCCACTAACCTGTGTGAGTTCTCAGGTGCGCTTTGAGGTGCGAGGATTTTCCGTAAACTTTCTCGCAGCCCGCATAGTGGCATTTGTGCTTTCTCTGCGGAGACTCAAGGTCGGCGCGACTTCGGCCCCTTCGACCCCTTTGTCTGAAGCCAGGTTCGCAGCTCCCTGCGGGCTCCATCTCCCGCTCGGGCTCCAGCCCCGACTCAGGCTCACTCCACGCGGGGCTGGGGGGCGCGGCCACAGCGTCTCCGCCGCCAGGGGAAGCAGGCTCGGGGGTAGGTGGCTCCGGCGGCGGTGCCGGCGGCAGGCGGCAGGGTGTCCTCGCCTTGCGGGCCGCTGCGCCCTCCCTGCGCTCCGCTGGGACTGGCGCCGGCGCCTGCTGGTTGAGGTCCGCTAGGATCCGCGCCACTACGAAGAGCGAGGCGCTGTCCTTGCCGTCGCGGCGCTCCTCGACTCGAGGCAGCGTGGCGGCAGCTGTGGTGACCGCGCCTTCGGGCCGGGGCTCCGGCCCCTCCCGCGGCCCATGCACGACTGCGCGGCTAGACATGGACACGAGGCACTCGGCGGCAAAGTGGTCCACATAGGCGGCGGCTGCCATGCTCGCAGGGCTCGACCGGCGGGCGGCGGCACTCCTCCTCCCAAGTCAGCGGCACATCCACACCCTCACAGCCTCTATGGAGAGCGGGCGATAGGGGCCGGGGGCGCGGCGCGCCTTTCGGAGGGCTGGGCTGGGCTAGGCTGGGCCCGCAGCCGCCTCCGCCGTCACCGCACGGCTCTGTGTCCGCGAGGCGGCCGAGGAATGAGGGCATAGGGAGCGCGGGGGCGATGGGCTACCGCGCGGGCGGCGTCAGGGGCGGCCTGTTCTAGGGATGCCGCGCCGTGGAGACGTCAAGAACCACCACACGAAGTCGCGGCCGCAGCCTCGCCGCGCATTGTGGCAGGCAGGACAGCCGCCGTGCGCGCCGCGGTGTGGGCGGCCCGGCCCCGGGGTGGGCGGGGCCGGGGCCACATCTGGACCCGACGTCAGCCCCCAGCCACATCCTGGCGGCGCAGGTTACGGGCGGCGGCGGCTGCAGGGAGCTACGCGCACGAAGGGGGCGGGGAGCCGGAGCGCGCACCTTCGGCACCGAGCGGCCGCGCGCCCGTGCCTGGGGAGGAGGCGTGGCCGAGGGCAGAGGTGGACGTCATTGGTCCCGGGGTACGCAGAGAGGCCAATCCCGGCGGCCATAGGGGTCTACACAGCCGCGGGGCCCGCGCACACCAATGGGCGTGCCTCATGGACGAGTGGGAGGAGGGACGGAAATTTGAGCTGGGCGCCGGGCACGCTGACGCACGACGTCCCGAGGGCGGCCGGGCCAGCCTGGGTGTAACCGAGTGGGTCGCTCCCGCCCTCTCCACGGAGGGGCTTGCCAGGCATTTTCCTTCCAGAGGTTTTGCACAATGACTGCTTTGAACCTAGGCGCGAAAAGAAGAGCCCAGGAGGGCGCCCCTTTTGTCCGTCGGCCCCACTTGCTGGGCTGCCGTGGGTGGGTGCGCCTCGTGGGCCTTAGTCTCCGCTTCTCTCTTTTTCTCTCCAAAGCCAGGTTTGCACGAGCGGGAGGCGTGTCTACTCTTGGAGCAGCCTACGGGCTGGAGACGCTCCCGTCGCTTCTTAGCGGAGCCGGCTCTCCCGGGTGGGCGTTCTCCGAGACTCGAGCTGTTCGCCCCCCTACACGCGCTCCCCATTCCGGGGGAAGCAGGCCGGCTCAGCAGCAGCATCTAGGACTCTTCCCAACGGCAGATACTCGGCGCGGCTGCGCTGCCCGAGAGCGCGGGATCGGTGGGAGTTGGACTGGGCGGTTGAGGGAACTCGGGGCCCTTTCCTTCCCTCCCCGCCCCCGGGCCGTCTGCCAACTTCCTTAGACTGCCCCGCGCCCACTGCGGTTAGGGAGGCTTCAAACACCACGAGCTGCAAGAACCCCGCCTACTGCACCCCACCCACTATCTGGGCTTCCCTAAAGAAGTGCTTGGTTGCGCGCCGCCTGCGACTTCCCTGCCCAGTCCGGCCAAATTGCCCTTGACTTTCACCCTAACCGCCCTGCACCCAACCATTCTCAGAGCTTTGGCAGGTGCTTAACTTAGAACGTCTGTAAATGCAGTGCTGGAAACTCCTTTGCATGCCTTCCCTGCGGAGCCTTACCTGGCAGCCCCAAACCCGTGGAAGAGGCCTGGGGCCTGCACCCCCCGGGCTCACTGGCCTTTGGAGTCGTTAGTGGTTGTTCTAAGGAGTCAGCTGCAGGCTCCAGAGCCGGGAGGGTGCGAGCAGCCCAGCAAACACCTGAGACCTGCCCCCTGTGGACTAAGAAAGAGGGTGGGCCAGAGTCATCCTGCTCACAGAATTCAGAACTTGACAGAGTCGATTTCTCCACGAGTTAATTTGAGGCCCAGGTAGGAAAGACTTTGCTTTCCAGATAAGCAAGGGGAAAGAGAGCTGTTGTGGGTTGCATGTTAGGGTGAACTGTAAACTTCACATGGAACTTTGAACACTCTAGGTATCTCTAAGGAGCTCTGGTAGCATAGTGTCAAAGGCACTTGACTGCTAACCAGAAGGCTGGCGGTTCAAACCCACCAGCCACTCTTTGGAAGGAAGGTTGGGCAGTAGTGAGTGATACCGCCTCTGAAACCCAAGAAGGGGTCGCTATGAGTCCGGTCCAACTCCACTGCATGTAACAACAACAAGGTACCTCTAACTTTTTTCTTACTGGTGTGTGATCTGTGCCCTAAAATTCCCACTCAAGAGTCAAGTGGATGCCCTCCTGCCCAGCACTTTGAGATGGGGTGTGCTATTTAGGGGTGCTAGTTAAGTTCCTGGGATGAGGGTGGGGGCCCTGTTAGCAGGAAAAAAAGTCACTATTTTCCCAAACAGATTGTGTTGATGGCATTTAAAAGACAACTGTTCTGGCCATGTAATGATTCAGAATGCTTCATTTCTCACCACATGTCACGATCAGTCACTTCTTTGTTAAGGATGGAGCTGGCCCTATGCTCACTTACTAGCCACCCATTACCCCCACCTCCACCTTGGCTAACAGACCTATCCTGCTTCTCTCCAGCCTTTGAAGTAGGTGCTACATCTCACCATCTTCTCCATGACCTCTGCTGGATCACACACTGAGGGCCTCCTTCGGGTCTGCGCTGGTCTGGGTTACCTCCACCAATGAAACAGACCTACCTCGAAGATGCAGCTCAGTGCCCTGTGTCTAAGAGAAAGTTGTGGCCAGTACTACTGCCATGGGCAAAGTTCCCATCCATAGCACAGCCAGCCACAGGCCTCCCCATGAGTGTTTCTCCAGTGGGTTTCCACTGTGCCCGAGGCATTCCCATGCAACAGCCCCTTCGCTGGTTCCTCAGCAATCCACCAATATAGCATTTAATGATTTGTATCTGTTGGAATACTCAGCCTTTACTCCAAACCCACATGTCATTGTCTTTCCAGACAGATACCATTCTCTTCCCCAGATAAAATTTCACCATAGCTGTGGAGCTTTCCTTGCTAAGTGGGATTTTTCAAAGGTGGCTTATGTATGTAGTTATGTGGCGTTGAGTTGGACCCGATTCATAGCGGCCCCTTCTTGGGTTTCCGAGATGGTATCACTACAGAAGTAGATTGCCCAACCTTCCTTCCGAGGAGTGGCTGATGAGTTTGAACCACCAGCCTTCTGGTTAGCAGTCAAATGCCTTAGGCACTATGCTACCAGAGCAGAGCCTCCTGAGGAGTGGCTGGTGGGTTTGAACAGCCGGCCTTCTGTTTAGCAGTCAAGTGCCTTAGGCACTATGCTACCAGAGCAGAGCCTCCTGAGGAGTGGCTGGTGGGTTTGAACAGCCGGCCTTCTGTTTAGCAGTCAAGTGCCTTAGGCACTATGCTACCAGAGCTCCCGAGCTTATGTATATGCATATATATATATGTGATAGTGGGGTGGGGATTGCATTTCAGATAGATGCTTAAAAATGGGATGAGATGATCAAGCCAGAACAAGTGCCTAGAGAGGTATCTGGGGCCAAAGGCTGAACAGGTGGTTGGGGTTTTTGGGCACAGGTGGTGGGTTGATAAAAGATGTTGACTTAACCTCCTTCTGGAACCTCCTAAAGCAACAGTAAGTCTGTTTGAAGGCAGACACCCACAAGGACAGGAAGACCAAGGGAAGATGTAACAGTAACACAAATTTTGAATCTACAATACCTAGCAAATCTGAGAATAACAGAAATCTTGAAATGGTGGCTGGGAAAGAAAGCCAAGAACAAACCCTCAAAAAGTGGCACCAGGTACCTCTGAAAATAGGTGTGAAGAAGTACCAAAATAAGATGCATGCAGGTGCCCCAGATCCTGTACGCAGTGCTGTGCAGCCAGCCTAACAGCTACCCCTTCCCTTTACTGACAAGAGATTGGCTGTTTATTTTCTGAAGAGGAAAGAGAACGTTTTATGCTTGGGCACACCAGGCACAGTTAATGGCAGAGGGATAAAATGAATAGGAACAGGGGAATTAAATGAATACGTGTTTATTGGATGCTGAGACTCACCTCTCCCAGGATTTCAGAATGCAGGTAGCTAGGCTGTCTCCGTTCACAGGAGACTGGAAGAGTCCCTCCTGGGGGATCAGACCAGGCCAAAAGGAAACACCTAAAGATTGTGACATCTGCAATCACCCAACTAAACATTCAGCTTGACCTATAGGGAAGACCATAGTTAGCACTGCCCTTGTACAGCAAATTTCTAAACATTCTCTGAATCCCTCACAGTCAAATAGGGGCAATGCAGACATTGCCTCAGGAAAATCTGTGTCATGAAGCCCCTTTAGACTTCTAAAAGGTAACTTAGAGGGCACAGACTGCAGAGAGAAGAAAGCATCCATAAAACTATCAATGTTAAATTCTTGGCCATAGCTACCTACCCTGAGGGAGTGAGTAGTAGGACCTGTGGGCTCAGGACCATGGTCAAAGGGGACATCAAGCTCAATTGGCATAAAATACTACACAAAATCATTGTTCTATATCCTACTTTGGTGAGTACCGACTGGGATCTTAAAAGCTTGCAAGAGGCCGTCTAGATGTAACAATGGATCTGTCATCCAGAGCAAAGAAGAATGAAGAAAGCCAAAGACACATGGAAACAATTAGTCCAAGGGACTAGAAGATCGTGCAATCCTAACCTATATAACCATGAAACCAGAAGAACTAGATGGTGCCTGGCTACCACTGTCAACTACTAGAAAAGGGATCAATGCAGGAGATTCTAGGTAGAATGGGAGAACAATGTGGAACAAAACTCAAAATCATCTAAAAAAAAAAAAAATTTACTGGTCTGATAGAGCCTGGTGAGACCTCTGAGACTATGGCCCCTAATTAACCTTCAGATCTGGCGTTGAACTCACACTTGTGGCTTCCAGTCTGACAATAGACAGGCATACAGAATGAACATTTATATCAGATAGATACACTCAGATGATGGGAGAACAGAAGGGCAGTGTTTGCACAGGGAGATAGCTGGGGAATGGAGTGGGGTGGAGCAGGACTGTATAGGAAAGGACACAGGGAAGGTAACTACAGGGAGGAAGTAGGAA